ATCTCAAAAATAAAAACCAAAAAAAACTCCACAACAGGTGTGAGATCTTCCTCATCTACGCCTGACAAATAGCTCTCAAACGCCATTTGGAATTTTAAAAAAGTCATTCGGTAAATTGAATTTAATAACATAAAATTGGGACTTTTTTGATCACTAGGATATTTACCTCCTTTAAGGATTCTTTTTCCTCTTGCCCCAGCCCACTCACTTGATCCATAATCTCTCTAGGGCGGTACACAACGCCGTATCTGATTCCGGTAATTCCTTCTGTGGCAAATTACACCCATTAAGTTTTCTTAAAGGGCTTTCTCGGGTGAACAACGTGCTATTTTTCTTTTGTAATTATTTCTTGGTTTTTGGAAAAAATATTTTTCATAAAAGCAGCAAAAAGGTTTTTTTCCCCCCTTTTTTCTTTTGCTTTTTGCTATTGCAGTGGAAGGGGGTACTATTAACTTTGGTCTCTCCACAGAAGACCTTGGGCCGCTTAGCCAGCGTGCAATAGGCGTGCGAGCTCGGGAAGAATGGCTGCTTTGTGTTCAGCATCCCCTCTTCCTTAGCCCCTCTGAGGTCCTTGTGATAACCGAACATTTTAGGTCTTAAAGATTTCTTCACCGTGGAGGGGGGTGGGTTAATGGGGAGGGAAAGGACAGCTGTTTGGAGCCCCCTTTCTCAGTAACGACATTCAGGCCCAGCGATATGTAGGCGCAGGCCTGAGGTTAGACCAGGCCTTTGCGACTGAGCTGATACTGCCCCTCCCAGGGGACAAGAATTGGTTTTTGGGGGGAGGGTGCCAAAAAACTTATGTATTACTCTGTTTTATGACCCTCCACAAGGCTGCAGTATATAAATAGTTATACAGTGTATTTGTGATATTAATATTACTTAGGGGGAGTGATTAAGAAAAAATAATCTCAAAAGGCTCCTTAGGCGACGTGATAATGAAAAGCAGGCTAAGAAGCACTGGGTTACATAGACCTACTGTCAGCAGCAGGACAAGACAGGGATCTATCTCTGCGGAGGCTCCTCGGCCTGCTGCTCTAGCCACACTTGTCGTTTTGTGCTGGCTTGTCATCATGGAAAGGGCCCTGGCCTGGGGGACATGATTCTGCCCCTTGTGCCTCGCCAAGCTTCAGCGCTCTGTCTACTAAATAAGGACACAGATGAGACGGATGCCAAGATCTGCCCCAGCTCCGTGACTTTCTCAGGTGCCCACCTGAGTGGGCCGACATAGCCAGACCTGGGCATGCATACACATATGCACACACGTTGATAATATTTGGAATTTTTGACCAAATAAGTTCACCAACTTGGAGGAAAATCCAAACAATACAAGCAAAGATTAAACTTTTAGCTCTGAAAAAGCCCCAACTTCCTCCTCTCCCTTCCCTCCTGAGCCCACTACTTTCTATCCGACTCCGGTGTGGAAGTCTCAAAACAGACGGATGTTTTTTGCCCAGGCTGTTTGGGCACCTTGAACACTCTGGACCCTCACTCACTGCCCACCAACAGATCCATGGCGCGTGGAATCAGTTTGTCCAAAATGTGGTCACCATTCTAGCTGCCTCGTAGTAGAAAAGGATCCAGAATCAGGTGGGCTCCCATCCGTGCGTGAGAAAGGTTGGCTGCAGGTACCTTTGGGAGTGGGGCAGCGACGGCATGGACGCTGAGGTTCCCGGATGCCTCCAGTGGCTTCTGAACCCTTCTCGGAGCGGGCTCACACCCCAAGCGCATGCAGAGAGGGTCCACCCAGTCAGAGGGAGAGGCCTGCGGGCTTCTCGCCCCCACACGAATCAGAGGCAGCAATAATAGGTGCAGAGCCCATGGCCCGAGCAACCAGGCACCTCTGCTCAGCCTTCCAGAGGGAGGGGAAGGAGCAAACCACTCAGCCTTGGCCAGTTTGCCAGAGAAGGAAAATTCCTTCCTGACCCTGGTGAGGATCATCAACCTCACTCTGGGCATATGACCAAAAATCTACCCAATTAAGCATCTGCACATTGGCTGTGCCAAAGCATCACCGGGCAGAACAAGGCAACGAGGGTGCAAAATATGGGTGCAGGGGGCCGAGAAGGGGGCTCCCCACTCCCACCATCCGGGCAGTATCATTGGGAAGAAAGATGTCCTGCTTTCCCCGAAGTCTCAGCAACAGCTGAATGTCCACTGGGTCTCAAGACTCGTGAGCAAGGCAGGGTCAATTTCCCACCCTTTGGACCTCCCTAAGAAGGGACACGTTAGGAAAACCCAGTGCAATATTTCGACATTCACCGCTAAAGAAGGATTGTGGGTTGGGTGCTTGAGTGTTTGTTCTTCTGGGAGAAACCAAAGCAGCTGTGAGAACCGACTTGCTGACGTCTTATCAAGTGATTCCTCATTTTTCCTTAGTTTACTTAGGGAGTTTGCTTGTTTCTTTGTAGCTATTTTTCTGCAGGGCTCCCATAGAAGCTATGCCATATAGTTTGCTATGGGCTACAATGCAAAGCTCACCAATGCAATACCTCAGGGTTAAATCCTACTTCTGCTGCACGGGACATGGGGCACATTTCTTACTACTCAGCCTGCTGAAATTCTTGATTTTTTTCATACAGGCATGGTATAGAAACATTCATGACCCTCCGTGAGCCTGTTTCCTCATCTCTAAAATGGGGGTTTTACCATCCAATCCTCAGGATGTCCTATGGATTTAATAAAATTAGTTAATATATGCAGAGGACTGGGTATAATACATACGTTCATTCCTGTCCCAGAGGGAAAAATCAACCATCATCAATATATCTAAAAAGTATACAATGTATCTGTGACTTCTGAGAAAAGGAGACAACCAAACTGCGAAAACTCCTGTCGAGAATACTTTGGATTTTGAAAAACATTTTTACAGAGAACATGCAGACGAAAGAAGTAAGCTTTCACTTGGATGGGCAAACAACCCCTTTCCCTGGGTTTTAAAGCTTGACTAAAACACAAAGCTGTCTCCTAAATCACTTAGCCTTTCTGGGTCTCTGTTTCCTCATCTGTAAGACGAAGAGGATGTACCTCATGATCTCTGAGATCTCGGACACACTTTCCAGCTTGTAAAATTCCCAGCGCATCCATCCACCCCAACGTGGGTCCCCAGCTCCGGTTTGAGCAGGGAGCATGTGCTTCCGCCGGCTGCCAGCAGGGGGCAGACGCACAGAGCCCCACACTGCAGAGTCTGCTCAGGCCTGAGAACACAGAGGAGAAACTCTAACCACTGCTTTTCTGGAAGCCTTCTGTTCTAGGGGGATGTGAAAGGGCAAAAGGGGCTTCCTTTAAACTACCTTGTACAGACAAATTCATGAAAAATGCTGCAAACCGTAACGAGGCAGTTGTCTGTATCAGTGAGCGCCCGTGGGAGAGGGGAGGTAAGGCGGGGTTGGGGGGTCGGGGGCAGTCCCTGAAGCTGGATTATTTTCCTGTGTAAAATGCAGCTCCCCTTCTACAGACGGCTTTAGGAGGGGTGGAGAAGCGAGCGCCTGGACGCGTCCTCTCTTAGTTCCCTCTTGGTTCTGCAAGTGATCCGCGGGGAGTCGGGGCTGGCAACGAGGGGTGGGTGGCCACTCAGCCTTAGCGGGCAGATGACAGCTCCCGGGAGCCACCGTGACTGCACCCAGTGGAGGGGCCGGTGCTGGGGCTGGACGGACAGACCCAGGCCCCAGGCCGAGCCTCCGAGCCCTGACTCCCCTCACCATTTATCCAAAAGAGCAAAGAAAAGGTGCTTACGTGAGGACAGCGGTGGCTAGGTCCAAAGAGAAGGCTTTCAAGGCAAGAGAAGGCAGGCGCTCCCAGCACGAGCGTGCAGTGGAAATAAAGGCACCTGTAGCCTTGTGATATAAGTGACACCTACAGACAGGTCCGTTTGGTTTTTCAGGTTTATGCACAGCCCCTTTGATGACGGTGACATAGAGTGTGACACAGCTCCTCCGAGGGGGGGAATGGTTCTCACATGCAGAAAGTTTACCTCTATCCTGCTTTTGTGCCCAGCTCCTCCTGCGCCCCCCCCACTCCCTCCAGCCCAGGGGACTCAGTAAACAAGCAGAGAATTCTTGCCTCTGAGAGCTGTGCGGGACTGCGCGTTTGCTGAGGAATTCTCCTTTGTGCAAGCTGGAGGGGATCCTCAGAAATCCCACCCTGGTGCCTGTCCGTGCTGCCTTCCTCCTGGGCTGGCCGGGTCGTTTGTATGTCAAAGGTCATTCTCTCTTTTGTCCATGTGGTGTGAAGGAAGGGCTGTGTGGGACAGTGGTTAAGACCTCAAGTTTTGCAGCTAGATGCCTTTGGCTTTCTGGTTCCATCATTTCCCAGCTGTGTCACCTTTAATAACTACGCTGTCTAGGCTTCATCGGCAGGTGATGGTACCTCTCCATCAGCTGCGGTGCGGATTGCATGGGATGCAAGCGAAGCATCTGGGAAGCCCTTTGTTAGCTACTGTGATCGTGGCGTTTTCCTTGATAGAGCAAGTGAATCAGAACCCCCCAGTCTACCATCTTTTCCAACCTACACCTTCCAACCAGCTGAAGAGAACGGCCAGTCTGTAGAACCACCTTGGGGATTTTTTCTCGCCAAGCACCAATAGGACATCAGACACATTAACTTATTAAACTTCTGACACTTTTGGGAGTAATGAGCCATGTAGTGGCTTCTTCCCTTTCCCCCCCTCTGTTTTACGGATGGACAAACGAAGAGGATTAGTGGCCCAGCCAGGTGTCCAAAGCTAATAGGCCAGGGGGCCTGACGTGGGTGCCAGCTCTCAGGTGTCTTGCCGAGAACTGCCCACTTTTTAGTACTTCCTCATGAGAACAGAAACTCAACCTAATTTGGGCTGTGAAATACTGTCTCTCAGGTCATCTATGGGACAGCATTTATAAACCCTATGCCTTTTGGCACTCTGTTTCCAGCAGTCTTGGGTAGCCAAGACGTTGTATCCAAATGGCAGACTCTAAAGTGAAAGCAGGGACTGGTTTGTTAGGTTTTCTTGGGAGCACTGGGAATAGGTACAGACACAAATACAAACGCACGTATAGTTTGAGGAAACAAAAGGCAGTTCATTAGCGGATTGAGGGTTTCATCATGGAAAAATTGTTGAAGAAAGATAGGTGACTGCCTAAGCTGCTGACTTGGCTGTGTTAACCTCAGGCAAGTCCAGGAGCTTCTCTAAGCTTCATTCTCCCTAGTGGTAAAAGCAGGACGTGGGATTAGAATAGTGATTTTCAAACTGCGCTATGAGGAACCCTGGGGGTTCCGCAGAGCCCTCACAAGGGCTGTTGGGGCTGAGAGAATGAGCATGGAGTAGGGTGGGTTAAACTTTAGACCACCCCCGCCTTCTTGACTCAGTAAGAGCATCTCAGCTTTTATATAAATCTTCTGGGTAAGATTTCATCTGAACAAAAGAATCTTGCACTTAAAAAGAGTTTGCAAGTAACTGGATTAGATGTCTTTGGGATTCCTTTACGCTTTAAAATTCTGTGACTTCTCCTCTTCCTCCTTGGTTTCTAGGGGACTGTGAAAGTCCTACACAATATGTTCTCCACTCTTGGGCACTGTCCTGTCTTGTCGCTGGTTTCTGAAATGCTACTAATGTTTGCTTCTGCACACATACATTCTTCTCAGTGCAGAGGTTTTCAAGGAAAACATTTTGATATTGTTTTTAGAAAAGAGTCTTTTGGAGAAATTTAATTTTTTCTATATTCTCTTGACTCAATTATTATTATTTTTTTCCCCAGGGGCTGCCCAATTGACTTGATTATTTGAGCGAAAAAGCTTTCTGGCCGTGGATGTGTGTGACCACAAACTCTGCCTCCTGGTCCTGAATGCATAATATAGCATCTCTGAGTGCCTGCGTTTGAAATTACAGGCTTCCGGACCAGAGGATAAAAGGGATGATTAAGATAAAACCAAAATAAAAGAGGAATTTGACTCTAATTAACTTTAACCATCACATTTAACCTCAATTTGATTGGAGTGGAGATCTTGGACTATGGTGAACACAAAGCTTCTAAAAACTGCATTGTGAGTGTTGGATGATGGCAAGAGATGGGGATTGGGGACGGGGCAGAGGAGGGCAGAAGGACTGGGGGTGGGGAAAGGGGGGCAGAAGAAGGAATGGAACATTTTCCAAGTCCTAGCTTATCCTCCTTATGGTGTCTCAACCATACAGCAAGAACTAGTAAGACTAACTGGGCTTGTAATCATAACATAGGGGCTAAGAGGCCAGATTCTGGAGGGAGACTTCCTGTGTTTGAGCCCCTGCTCTTCCATTTACAGTCTGTATGAGCCTGGGAAGCCTGTTTAACATCTCTGCAGCCCAGTTACCTCGCCTGCTAAGTGGGGAAAAAAGAATATATCTCTTGTAGGGTGGTTGTGTGAATAAAATGAGTTAAACCTAGGGAGTGGAGAGAGCCCTACCTAAGCATGGCCTGTTGTATTCCTTACATTAAATTTTCACGTATCTTTGACAAGGGAGTTACTTATCATCTCCATTTTACAGAGGAGGAAACTGAGGCACAGAGAGGTTAAGTAACTTATCCCTGGTCACACAGCTAAGTGGAAGAACAAGTATTTTAGTCTAGGCTGTTTGCCTCCAGAGAGCCCATCCTCTTAACTGCTGTGCTAACCAGTTTCTCAGTGCTCTGGGGCAGTTCTTTGGTGACAGGGAAGAGGGAATCACTCATATAAAGAGTGTCTACCATGTGCCAAGTATTGTGCTAGGATGACTCATCTGCATTTCCTTGGTTATTTTTCACCATAACCCTGGGAGGTAGCTATCATTACTTTCTTTTCCAGACGAAGAAACAGGGGTGCCACGCTTGCTGGGGCTCACCCAGCTGATCAGTGGCCAAACCTATGTTGAACTCAAGCCTGCCCAGTGTTAAACACATACTATAGAAACAGGGGCTCAAGTTGTCCTCTCTTCTTTTGCTCTGGCCTCAGCACTGGCCTGAGAGGAGGCCCTTGCTTCTCTGTTGGGTCAAGGTCCCTGGGTCTCATGGTCATTGCTGGCACAGTCTGCCTCTTAACATAGAGTAGAAATTCTGGTACCTCACTGAATCTCTGGTGCCTAGTATGGTTCTTGGGATAAAGAAAACACTTAATACCTACATGTGTCATAAAATCATGTGACTTAAAGGACATGTCATCTGACATGAGCCTGGAGGCTTCCACCTCCAGATATATTAAATAGATATAACGGGCTCCATGTCTCAGCTGCTTTTCCTAGAACTTGCCCTCTTTGGCCAAGACCAATGCTTCTTTATCCTATTTCTTCTTTCCCCCAACCTGCCACATTCACCACTACCCTAAAGGGCAGCACAGGCTGAAAACAAAAGTGAGTTAAAAAAATAAGTTTAGGTAAGTTCATAGATGGTACCACTGGAAGGAGAGATTTGCAGTGTGATGGTGACATGCACAATCTTTGGGTTCAGACTCCTGTCTCTATTATTCTTCTATTTTAGAGAAGAGTCTGTTGGAGAATGTACATTTTTCTGTGCTTTATTGGCTCAAATATTTAAGAACACACAGTGGGTGTGTCTGGCAACAAACTCCTGGAACCTGTCACCTGGGAGGCATTTGATGAAGCCCCAACTTATCAGGGCCTCAATTTCTTCCTCTGTGAAATGTCTACTATGATTCCTGGTGCATGGTGAGTTTCAACAAATGGCGGCTATTATATGGGCTATGGAGAGAAATGCAGATGTTGATAGCACTCCGTGCCCTGTGAGCGTTACCATACCAAGTAGGGTAATGTTGCCCTTCCACAATGAATAATCATCATAGCTGCCATTTTCTGGGCATTTGCTAGGTGCCAGGAACTATCTAGGCATGCTGCACGTATTAAGTCATTTAATCCTTACATCATTCCTACGAGGTAGGTGTCATTATTACCACCTGAAATTTACTGATGAGGAAACAGGCACGGAGAGTTCGAACAACTTGCTCAACACCACACAGCTGGCAGATATCACGCAAAGCACGGTTCCAGCCTAGGCAGGAGGGCACCAGGTTCCACAAGCTTCACCATTATGCTATGGTTTGGCACCTCTGGGCGAGATGGAATCTAGGTTGAAGAGATACCAATTTTCTTAGGCATCCCAGGTTGTTGGCAGGACCCTTGGAAGCAAGGACAAGAGTTGTCAATCTCTTGTCCCCTAAAATGTGCAGGGTAGACTTGAGCGCAAATAGGTGCACAAGCAACACTTGTTGGTTGATTGTATATTCTCAGATTTCTTTCTTTGCTTTATTTCTTCTTTGGGTATCTTCCCTCATCTTCCTATATCCACCTCACCCTTCAGCTGTTCGTGCTGTTCGTCCTCCTGACCAGGAGCCCCAATTCATTTGAGAGCAACGGTGAGGTGGCTCCCTGATAACCCTGCCTTGGCTATGAGCCTTGGGACAGGAAAGGGTCTCTGCGTCATTTCCAGCACTGAAGTCACCGTGGAGGTTAAACAATGGCAAAGTCAATAGCTAGCAGAGACATAATGAAAATGTAAAATGCTGGAATGAAAAATGACAGAATTTGATTTCATTAAAATCGATATTGGAAGATACTGATTTTGTAGTTATAAGGTGGAATTATGATAATGTTTGTGAAACAGATGACACAACTGCATGACTGTATTGCTAGTTTTTCTTCTTCAGTGAAGATACCAGAAGTCCACCTATTGGAGGTTTCTATGTTTTGGGTCAGCCCAATGCATCGGAAGCCGTCATGGCCGATGCATTGAAGGCACAGCTCTGAGAGGCTCAGCCAAGGGGACCCTTCCTGCAGGAAGGACTCTTGAAGACAGAATGTTCTTTAGCTGTTTTCCTACTAAACACCAGTCCCCTGGCAGGTGTGAGGCT